CGAGGGAGAAGTTACGATCACACTAACGTGAAAATATTCTTCTCTTGCAGCTTCGGTTGTCAACAACCGCCTGCCCATGCTCTACGACAGTATAGCAAAAGGGGCATCCACATATAACCAAACAAGTGCAATGATAGTCGTTAGTTGCATTAGTTCATACAATTTCGCAGGAAATGATATAATCTGGCGAAATTCTCTCATGGCGTACCTCTGTATAGATTCCTCAAAATCATCGACACAACTCCTACCTCAACATAGTTTCTAAGGCTACGTCCATCATCCCCACGTTCTTCTCTTCCATTAGAAATATTTATGAAGGAGTACGGGCCAAATATTGGCCACGGCAAATGACATTTTCTGTAACTTTTGCAGTTAACATTCGACCCATTCCGAATTTGGTTTTCGTAAAAGGTGGATGTTGGAAAGCGACTTATCGCAGGATGCATTCTGTACTGGATATTGAGACGGTGCCTTGGATGACCCAGAGAACTCAACCTTTCGAATAGACTCCTTCCAAAGCCAGCCTTGCTAGAAAGCTATAGAACAAAAATATACAGAAACTTAAAGGTCAATTAAGCATAAAATAATTCATGTTTATGAATGCTTGTGTTAAAGGTAAATTAAGCATAAAAACTATTCATGTTTATGTATGCTTGTGCACGTTCCTAGTCAAATATTCAGCGATGACATACCTTGCTCTCAACCATTGCAGGCAACTGACATTCATCTCCAACTAAAATTGCGTGCCTGACACCGCGAAGTTTTAGCGGAATTATTGACTCGCATTCTTTCAACTGCGCGGCCTCATCAATCACCAATAAACTGACAGGCTCCATTTCCTTGGAGTAGAGCTTATATGAGCTAGAGGCAGTGCAGAAAATCAAGGAAGCCGCTTGATAACAGAACTCAGCTATCTTTTCCTTACACGTAAATGTTGCAAGGTTTAGCTCTCTGAGAGACGTATTAAGAGTTCGCAAAAGAGAGAGGCATTCACGTCTCTTCATCGATAATGATGTATATAGTGGATCTGTGCACATTTTTAATGTAGATCGGTCCGATGAAAATGCTTTCTTCAACTTTCTCGAATCCAACTTCTGTCTATATAGAGAAATTTCAAAAGAATCAAGTGCGATCAGAAGGGACTCAATATCGCGGAAATTATGTTCCAACAGGTAAGTTTTGGAGATATGGGTGCACAAGATCGAGAAGCATCTGCGGAGAGACTCTGCACTTGACCTGAATCTGTGCTTGAAAAATTCCAGAAATGATTTAAATTTAGGTTTGGATTCCTTTTTGCCGCTCCCACGTTTGCTTGCAACATCATTACCATTAGGCTTTGATATAATCTGGCGTTCATTCTCCAGAAAAATGTGGTATTGGCGGACACAGTCATTGAGAGTATCAATCATGGAAGGTAGACAATGCCGCCAACCAGTGTATACAGAAAAGCATCGCGCAACACAATCAACTCGATGATCCAAGAATATTTCCTCCATATCTGAATCTACTTTCATCCGCTCCTTGTTCCCGAAACATAGCATGTCTCCTAAGTTATAGAGCAAGCGTTCCCCATGAGAGTTTGTGCAAACCGATTGTTTTACCAGCTGCAAAACACGAGACGCCAATTCCTTGATGGCAACATTTGTTGGAGCACAAACAAGGGTTCTGTGTTTCCTTTTCAAGAGAGTAAAGAGCAGTGCCGCGACAGTTTTGGTCTTCCCTGTCCCTGGAGGACCCTGTATCATTTCCACAGCCGACCTGTGTTCACACATGATTGTATCAAGACATGCCAGGACAGCTTTTGTCTGGGATTCATTCAGACTACCAAGCAAGTTCTTATCGAGACCCTCATGCCCAGAGTCATGACTTTGAGTAATGCAGAGATTGCAATCTTTCTCAGCCTGCAAACAAACGCATACTCTTTTGAAAATTCACTCCCAAATAACCTAAGTAAAACTTAGAAACCGTGAAAAAATTGTTGATTATGTTCTATCCTTGCACAACCTGCACTAATATTGAGCACAGAGGATCTTGTGATGTATAAACTAGGTCTATCTCTAAATCTTGGTCATACTACTGCAGCATTGAAATTTATGTGAATGCCAGACTCGGGGCAATCTTCTTTTGACTGTTTGGAGAAATAACAAGCTAACTCAAAAGCAAATGGAGTTTTTTTATATAATTGATGAAGTTTTGTTGGTGCAATAATATGTTTACCGTATACCGCATGGAGATAATAAGTATGAAAATTAAAGTCCTTACCGCTGAATCCGTACACAGAACTTCCCTTGCAACTTTCAAGTTGCCAAATCTGTGTAGCACATTCCATATCCTATTGTTAGTGACTGCATTTATCAAGAAAACTGCATACATTGACTCCCAGGTACGTTCATCATTCACTTCATTGTCCAAAAATGCTTCGACACTGAACCTTGTTGATGTTTGAGCATCCCCGTCCTCGTCTTCTGGAATTTTAGTGACCGATGCAAATGCCCATCTTCCTGCAAACCTTTCTAAGCTTTGAATGGAATCCGGCATAGTATTAGTTAAGATCAAAACATCCCCAGGCAAAGTTTTGTAAGGTTCTTTGCCATTGCCAGTGGACCTGTTTCTCCAGTAGTCCACTTCCACGTTGTAAGCATTCTTATCGCCTTCAACAAACCTAGTGACTTTCGCGAATGGTAGCCTAGATACATTCTGCATACTTGAACAGAGACTGGCTCGTGTTTCCTCCAGCAAAGGAAAGATATAAGACGCAAAGTCTTGCTCAACTGATTGAAATGACTCCTGGATGCTCTCCACCTACAAAATGGGTGTATTGAAAATCAAACACGACCAACCAACTTCACTCGATAGATCAAGCAACTCTGTCGTCTTGCAAATTAATGTCTCACGGATAGCACACCGTATAGCATATTAAAATGGGAAGTATATCCCCGGACACCCAATAACTTCGCCACACAGAGACAGAGAGCAAGGTCCTTCCCCACTTTACAACAGTCCAACTTTACTTACGATGCTCACAAGAGAAACATTGCGAAAGAGCAAGGAACTAACATCATTTAGAACATTTTCGAGCTAACACCAATTACACTTTTACTGATGATAGTAATAAAGCATGATCAAAGCAACAAACATAGCCCCAAAAAAAGGGAAAAAACAAGGAAGGAAAGAGACTAAGAAATGAGAACCTTGTCCCTGTAGAGATTCGTATCGAAGATTTCTCGAAGAGACCAAGAGAAGATGATACCAGTCAGGTCAGTGGGCTTGTCTTTCTTACTACCGGAACCAGACTCCGCACCTTCTGTAGAATCCATGGCCAGTCCAGCACCCATCTCTAAAGCCATTTAAATCCTTACTTTCCCGTCGAAGATGACGAATATGTCTGAGAATTCCTAGCAAACGAGAGATCGAGAGAGCAAATATGAAGAAGCGAGCAGCTTTAACGCTTGTGGATCAATCCCGTCCGAGACGAGCCTTTAACAAAGACGATCACTGAGTGACCGCGGGCAGCGTGAAAAAGGGGCGAGATGAAGCGGATGACCCGGGAAACGTCTCGGTCTCCTCGTACGTCCTTACAGTATATGAACCGATCTCGCCAAAACTTTAAGTTGCTAAAGCTCGTTGCACGTTGCGTGACATTCCGGATTTTGACCCAATTTTTAGGAATTTAATAAACGTGTAATTTGTCAGTATATTTATAGTAAATTCTCGTCCGAAAACTGATCACTCTCGATTATTATTTTTAAATTTTGAGATTTCGCTAGAATCGCACTCGATCGAATTTGGCCGTTATTTAGACCTCGGACTTGGCAGTTGATTTTCGGGAGTTTCGGGACAAAATAAATTGAACGGTATCATTATGATCGTAGCCAACGTTGAGATTGTCAGGAATAATGGAAAAAGAAGAGTTTTTGACCGGGTGCGAATTTAAACTAGTAGACCTCCCTCGGGGTAATTTGACTTAATTGATCTGGCCTTTATCTTTTATTATATTCGAGGTTTAATTTGGACTGGTAGGTCGTTTTCGATTTTGAATATGGGCCGTTGGTTTGCAATAATTATTTGATTGAGCATTTAATTTCTTTATTTTTCTCTTCTCTCTCTCTCTCCTCTCTCCTCTGGCCGCGTGCGCGTCTGCCCCATGCAGCGTCCCCTCAGCCCATACCCCTTGCAGACCTACTCTCCCTGACACTCTCTCTCTTCTCTTTCCTTCTCTTCCTTTTTCTTTTTCTTCTTCTTCTTCTTCTTCTTCTTCTCTTTCCTTCGCCGACTGGTTCCGCTCCGCTTCTGCTAGAGCTCGCCTGACCGCCGTCGACCCCCTCCGCCTCCGCCCAACGCCGTCCCACCAACCGCCGTCGCCCGACCGAGCTGCGCTGCCGCTCGTCGCCCGCGACCGCCTGTCGCCGGCCCTGCCAGCGCTGCACGCGAGCAGCAGCTCGCCACTTCGTCCGCCGCGGTCCGGCGTCGCCCAGCCGTCCGCCGACCTGCCCTCCGCCGTCCGGCCTCCCGAGACGCCGCCGTGCCACCCCCGGCTGCCGCGCGACTTTCCCCCCTGTTTCTCTCTTCCCCGGAGCCTTCCCCTGTTTCGGGCTTCCGGCTTCACCGTCGCCGCGTGCCGCCGTTCCAGCGGCCGCCGCCCCGCCTCTTCCCCCAGCCTCTCCCCTCAGCCACCCTCGCCGCCCTACTGCCCCCTTTGGCCGCCACCACCTCCCCCTCCCCTGTTCTTTTTCCTTCCTCCCCGACGCCGCCCCTGTGTTGGGTTTTCCCCGGCGCCGCCTCGACCAGCCGCCGCGCGCCGCCGTACCGGCCGCCGTCGCTGCCCCGTCTACCACCACCTAGCCCCGGCGACCCTGCCCAGCCAGCCCGAGCGTGCCCCGGGCCGTGGCCGAGCCCGCGCCCTTGCCCGTACTGTTCATTCCGAACACTGTTCATCCGGGGGGCCGTCACTGTTCATTCCGGGGGGTACTGTTCATCCGGCCTATACTGTTCATTCCGAACACTGTTCATCAGGCGTACTGTTCATCCGGCCCGTCTAGAGCCCGTGCAGGTTTTTCTCCGGGCCAAAATCTGGTAAGTGATATCCTAATCCCTATTTAGTATAATGGGTACTATTAGACATGTTTAGAGATTGATTTGATTAATTTTGTGACTAATTTTAGAAAATAGATTAGTCTGTTAAATTATTATTAATGCGTGAATTACGTGGCGAGTGGTGGATTGATTTATGGTGATCACGTGGCTAATTGTGGTGTACTGATTGACCGTATCATGGTGGTGCGTGTGGATGAAAATTGGAGCTCGTATGTGACTGACTTATATGTCGGGAGTGTGGACTGGTGTATCGGATTTGTGTTGTGACTGGGATTGGCTTTGACTGGAATTGGTATGGTGCTTTGATTTGGCAAACTGAGATGTTGCGAGTGTGTCTTGAATTTGGTTGGTGCGATTTGTGAAAATGGCGAAATTGTGCTGTGGTGCGTGTGCATGTGAAAAAAAAAAGCCCGGATCGATCGGAGGGCTGCCAACCTGAGGCGTAGGTTACGCGGGTGTGGCGAATAAGGCATGACTAGACCTGAGGCGTAGGTTACGCGGGTCATTGGAAAGGAAAAATGTCCCGAGGCGTGGTTACGCGGGACCGAGTCCGGCTTGATCTGAGGGCTAAGCCTGAGGCGCAGTGGCGCGGGCTGTGAGATGGGGCCTGACGCGTAATGGCGCGGGCCGAGTGAAAGGACCTGGGAGGTCGTGGAAGGCTGTTCGACCACGCATGCGATTCGAGTGTGACTAAGATTGATTGATTTGACTGATTGATTGACCGATCGAAATGTTGGAATTGATTGGGTGCTATTGTGGCTGGCGTGTGAATGACTGTGGTATGTTATCGAATTATTATTATTATAATACATTTGACTGTCGTGTAGAGCTGGCACGCGCTTGATGGCGAGGTAAGTACTTTGAGGTGAATTCGGTATATTAGGAATTAGATTGCATGTACTGCTTGTCTGGGTACGCATTGGCCTACGTAGGGTTGAGGGTATTACTTATTGAGACTCGTTCTCACGGTTATTATATAACCACTTTCAGATCCGCGACCGTGATCGATTTGGAGATGCCGCCAAAGTACCACAGGGATTGAAGAATATGTTAATTTACCCTGTCTTTTGAGTATCTTTTTGTAGAGGAGATAAGCTTGTCGACCACCGCCCCTTTTTGAAAAGCGTGGTTGGGAATTGGTAGCCCAGGTTATTGTCCTGTAATAGTGACTACCTTATTATGTTATGCAATTATTGTTTTGTGCTATCCCTTTGTCATGTTTCGTTGTCCGGGTTGTTTCTGTTTGCTTCCGCGTGTGCTAAATCTCTGATGTCTGGGTCGGGTCGATGACGTGCCTGGGACGTCATGTTCAATACGACCGATGGCGGGATGTCGCGGGCTCGGCGGGGTCCGGGGCGTGACACAATGCACGTCGCTTCGCAATACGAGCTTTTTCCATCGTTCCCCATTAATGCGAATCAAAGCAAGATGTCTGCCTTTCCGACCAAGAAAATGAAAAAAAAGCAAGATGTGTGCCTCAAACCCACGAACGATGGTTTGCTTGGGCTAAGTTTTCTTGCATTGCTAAAGCTTTCGTCACTGTCACAGTACACACGGTCTTCCCTCGTCCGAAACGTCTGGTGTCCGACATGTTTGGAGCTTGGATGGAGGCTGGCAAGACCCGCGTTCCTTCTTCGTATTTGAACGACCACAGATGCGTACATGCATCTTGATCTCTAAGAATGGTTGTGTTGGACGTACATGGGTACTTTAAATCACTCGAGGAGGACCTAAAACCGTAGTTCCTTAATTAGGAGATCGAGCGGGTATCTGTGCACCGAACAAACGAAGAGTGCTATTAAATACTAGGTATTGTATGTAACATTAGACTTTCGAATGTATTGGATGAGAGGAAATTTTTCAGAGGACGGACATAAATTTGGCAACTGGATCTAATGGGTGCTGTATGAAGAGATTTGAAATTCGAGTTTTGGGAAACTTGTGAGGTTGTATGATAATTCTAGCTGGAAAGATCTTTTAATAAAAGATTAGGAGAGATTTATGGGACTATTGTCGTCACATTATGATTTTGCTCATTTCCCATCATTTGCACTCATCGATGTGAAATTTTTAATAATTATAGTGGAACCCTATTAAGTTAACATCCGCTCGTGATTTGAAAAAATGAAATAATTGATCATTTAAGAGCTCCTCGGGTCAAGTAAGAGCGGGCGGGAAAGGAAGCCGATGGCCCTTGAAAAGACTTGAGTCCCCTCGTATTCCCGTACGCTATTTGATATGATTTTGCCAAAACTTTACCTACCAAACTTTTTACAAAAAATTATTCGATTAATCTTAAGCTTTTTAATTTTACCACTTTAGTTTTAAACCGTATGAAATTATTAGTCTTTCTGATCAATTTTCACCGAAAATCGCTGACGCGACGGCATGCCGCGTAAAATGGCCAGTGATGACCGCATCATCATGTCGGCAGTTTCAGCGAAAATTGATCAGAAAGATTATATTAAAATTTCGCACAAAGATTTAGGATAAAATTGGCAAAATTGAAAAGTTAAGGACTGAATAGGCATCCGTGCAATAGATTTAGGACCGAATTGATAATTTTCCCGAGCTTTTGTGCACAATGCACGCGGCGTCACAAGACAGGCTTCTGCATCGTTCCACATTTTTTTCAAAGCGAAGGAGTCGTATGCCTCAAACCAACAAACAAAAGTTACTTTGGGTAAGCTTTCTCGGATGCTAAGCTTTCTTGCATGTACCATACGCACATTGTTTTTCCTTGTCTGAAGTAAATGGTGTCCTGAAATGTTTGGAGTTCGGATACAGATTAACAAGCGCACGTTCATTTTTGTAGTTCAGATGACCACACGCATGTACATGCACTTATGACTGGCTATGGAAATTAGAAATAAGATTTGGTCGCTCATTAGTACACGAGTACTAAGATGGTTTGATGAGGCCTAAAACCATAGTCCCCCTTGAGTATTTCACAGTTACACATGACGACGGATGATGTAACGACCTGGTCTTGCGAGGGATGGGAGTGTGGCTCCGCCTGGAGGATGGCGAAGGGGATAGACATTAACCGAATCCCACATCGCCCGGAAAAGGTGAAGTGATGTGCTATATAAAATATAGCACTAGTCTTAACTACCAATGAGGCCCTTTGGTAGTAGCTTCCGCTGTGCCAAGGACAAAACCTTGCGTTGGATATGGCAATGCGGCTATGCCTACCCTAAATGATTTGTCTTTGTACATACATGCTTATAGGGATACCATACGTGTGAACAACCTGAATTTCTTCTCACTCTCACACGTGCCCAGCACATGATTATGCTCTCTTCATGCCTTTTCCATCTTTGATAAAGCAGTTGTATAACGTTACATCGCGTCAAAGAAAATGAAAGATTCTATAACCCCGAAGGATAAAAAAAATAAAATTAAAAAGCACGAGGGCTAAAAATGGGAAAGAATTAAAGAAAGGGATAAATGCATTGAAAGTCATAAAACTTATCGTGAAAGTACAATTAAATTCTAAAACTTTCAAAAAATGTAATTATGTTTCAAAACTTATCAAATTGATTCAATCAAAACCTTCCATAAATTGCACTTTTTGAAAGTTTTAAGTTTTGATTACACTTTCGTGAAAAGTTTTGAGGCTTAATTACACTTTTGAAAATTTAAGAACTTGATTTTCACTTTCGTGACAAGTTTTACGACTTGATCGTACTTTTTAAAAAGTTTAAAGAGTCAATTGCATTTCCGTGTCTTCAAGTGCACTTATCTCTTAAACAAATGATAAAACTTGGTGCGATCTCCATCAACATCTTTGTTTGGCCTGAAACCCCAAAATCCACAGCGATTTGCGCATCATTCTCGCTTGATCATCTCTGGATTTGCGAGTGATTCAGAGTTCCTCCGCTCGGTGGATCATCTCTATAGCTCCTTGGATATCTTGCTCCGGAGGTTCCAGCTTTGCGCTTCTCGTGTCATCAATCGCTCGAGAAAGGATGCAAATGGTGTTCGTTTCACTGTTCGGTGAGTGGTTCGATTGCAAGGACTGTTCGTGCTGTGTGCGATTATTGTTCGTTTTTGCCTAATCAATGAACGAGACGATGGATAGCCGATTGCGGATGTCTCGAATCTCGATTGATTCTGCTGTCTATGTCACTGTTGGACTTAGGTGTGTAACCCTATATTTGAATTCACAAACTAGAGACGAAAAAGAAACAGAAATAAAAAGTTATGACACCTGAACCGAAAATTCTATGCCATTATTTCAACCAAATATATCCAGACATAAAACTAGAAAAAGATAGATGATTTAGAAGGTCCAAGCCTTCTCGAAAATACCCGGCACGGGCGCAGAAATTCCGACCCCGAACGAAACATTCCTCGTAAAGAAATTGTGTTATCCCCTGATTCTGTCAAAAGAAGCTGCTTGTGAAGAAGGGGAACAATATGGGTTTGCTCAAATATGAAGCCCACCGAATCGGGAATTCATCTCTTGATCTAGCTCGGTTACGTCAGAAGCAAGATTCGCTTCGCCATCGTGGTCCTCCGAAAACAAGTGCCTGACCACGCCTGATGATGAGGGGTGGAATCTCATTGAAAGCAGGCTCTCGCTCGTTCCCGGAATCGAAATATCGGCCCCCAAACCGCTCCCTGCTTGAACTTGATCCGGATTACGGAAACGAGCAATACCATGAGAAGAATCCCATGTCTTTGGAACTATAAGATCCCTACACGACGGGAGATACGTGGGCATATAAGATAATTCAAGTCAGTTCTAGCGGTCATTCATCCGAGAAAGTGAATCATATAGACTATTGATAAGTCTTCAATCTGAAGTTAGGGAAAAAAGATGAGACTTACCCCTCAAGACATTTCTCGTTGCAGAGACTAATGAAATCGTCTGCATATGCTTTGAACTCACTGTCGAGATGTTCAACCAGTCTCGTCGCATCCCTTAAGGGCAATACATCCCAAATCTTCAGGATTTGGATGTATCTCGGTTCCTTAAGTATATCTATATCGACAGTGCACAGCACGTAGAGAGACCATCAACCTCAAATTGCTTCACCATATCAGAACAGCTTGTAGGGAGTAAACCCACATAGCTCTTCTCAGGTCTCCAGCCACCAGCAAGTTTTGATAAGAGGTCCAAGATTGACATCTTGGTCCTATGTGACGTAAGCTTTCCGAAAGACTTCACAAAGTTATCGCCGAAGAAAACCTACAGTTGACAAGAAAAAGTATTGTCACTGATTCTGCAAAAGTCGAATGTTCATTTTGAGCCGGCAAATACAGCAAAGAAAACCATCGGGCAAAGTTTTCTACCCTCCACCGAGCATTTCTAAATAGGACACTATTGCCATCGAGCGGATCATCAAGCCGAATATTCTCTTTCTTCCCATCCAAAATGGCTTTAACTTCATCACAACCGGAGGAACATTCTCGGCTCTTAGCATCCTAAGAGCAGTTTGCCCTCCACCTCTCATTTCTAAATAGCACATTACTTCCAGCGACCGGCTCATCAAGCTGACTATTCTTCCCATCCAAAATGGCTTCAAAATCATCAATGCTGAAGAAAAAACCACGGCTCTTAGCATCATGAACCAAAGCTTCCCATGCAGATTTGCTTCTCATCAGCGTTCTCTCATTTCCCAATATCCAAAGAGAGTATCTACATAGAGGCAGCAAAAAGCAGAAATTGCTTGTAAATAACATCTTATTGCAAAATTCAAATTGCCCCGGTTAAGCAGGAATAAAAGAGACTACCTTGCCCTGGTGATAGTGACATTGGTTCTCTTAGGATCAGAAACGAACCCGATAGAACCGCGAGGGTTTGATCTTACGGTCGATACTATTATGACATCCTCTTCACCCCTTTGAAACCCATCCACTGTCCTCACTTTCACTGTAAAGCCTTCGATATTTTCATAATTATTTCCAATATCGTGTTGTATTGCAGCAACCTGAGCTCCATATGGAGATATCACGCCAACACTTAAATCTTCGCCTGAAGATTTGCATGCTGCAGAAAAACCAATATGATATAATTAGATGTGGCACACAAGTCGTAAATCCTACAAGTTACGACGACACTAACGTAGAAGTGTTATGTACACCTCCGATTCCTGTTTCATGTATCCTGCAAGCCTAAGTTAATGACCTAAAAATGACAAGAAAGCATATCATCTCCCGTGTCAATAAGCATATAAAGCTATGCAAATCTCTCTATACATCCCAAGAAACTAAAATAAACTTCATGGTAAGATTGAACAGAAATATTCTTCTCTTGCAGATTCGGCAGTCAACAACTGGCCGCCCATGCTATACGATAATATGGCAAAAGGTGCTTCCACATATATAACCAAACGTGTGCAAAGATATAGTCGTTATTTGCATTAATGTATACTATTTGGCAGGAAACAATAAACTGGCCAAATTCTCTCGTGGCGTACCTTTGTATAGAATCTTCAAAATCTTCGACACAACTCTCACCTCAACGTAGTTTCTAAGGCTACGTCCGTTATCCCCATCTTCTTCTCTTCCATTAAGAATATCTATGAAGGAGTACGGGCCAAACATTGGCATTAACTTCTCTTCCCCGTATTTATCCGAAAAATAAATTTTAAAATATCTGAATTACACCAAAATTTCCAATATAATTCTTGAATGCTAAGATTCACATTATACAGCATGTTTATAATTTCCAATGTTATATTTTCCTCGTGTTATGTCTAATTATAATGTATGGAGCGTCGACTTATTCCGGGCTCGGACAGAACGCCGGTGATGTCACTTCCGATGATGCGTTTGAAGCGCTCTCGATCGTCTCCGAGACGACGCTTTCCTCATCATCTTCAGTAACTGGTGATTTCTGGCAACCAAACATTCGGTGTCACGCCCCGAACCCTCGAGCGCGCAAACATCCTTCCTTGATCGTGAAATTACGACATCCCAGGACGCAACGTCGACCCATCCATTTTCACTTTAGATCATGCACATGCGGAAGCGTATATTTCCAGACAACAATAGGGATAGACAGGAAAACATACAACATATATATACACATCATCAATAGTACATCGGGGATTAATATATTACTAGTCCGCCACGCCAACCTTCTTGATTACAATAACAACGGATATGGGGTTAACCTAGATCCTCTATCTACGAGGATAACCTCAACAGGTATTTCCCCCTTGACATAACCGTATCACAAGGAACGCAACGCGTACTCATACCTGAGTACCTGAAAAGATGGTTAACAACAACGAATGAGATAAAATCTCAGTAAGTTAACGACCTAAGCCTCGACTAGGAGGTCAACTCATCTTGGATGCACCTAAAACATGCAACAACCTATCGATGATAGATCAATAGCAAAGTAACCCCTGCTTTGCCCTAACTATTCACACGAGCAGGCTACCAGCCCATCATAAACATATCTGCCATTAAACAATTGCAAACATTTTTACCTTACCTTGGCACACACGCCTTGCACGTTATAAACTATCATATACAATCATAATGCAACAAGCATATAATGTAGTCAGAACACACAACAACTTTCCCATGCACAATGCATCCACACGTGTCCCGATTATAAGGTGAAGTCGTTTCAGCCCGTCTTATACCGCCTCTCACAATTTCATCCCATAATCAAGCATAATGCCACTGCAATCTTTCATGCGTATTTTGATTACTACAGCCACACAACGACACAACCCGCGTTATTCGCATCAGGTTGGCGGTCTTCCGATATAACCATGCAGGTATCGTCCCGCCCCGTCGGGCACGGCATCGTCTCACCCAACCACAATGACGGCATATCCCATAAATGGGTTCATTCCGAATTCGATTTGTGAATGACTACGTCTCTCCTACTACCAGCGACGGCTTCCAATTACCAAATTGGGGACACCCGTTAAGGCCACGGCCAAACCCTAGGTTGGTGGTCATCCGGTATATGGTTTTCCGATATAACCGGGCATGAAAGGAACCTTTAGGTGATCATGCACACATAGCAACACTCAGGTTCCATCATTATAATTTTCAATAGCCGATGCAAACATGATCCGTGCTAATACGTTGAAATATTGCAACTTCCACACGTAAAAATGCATCAAAATAATCACAAGTGATCATGCACATTTTATTAAATTCCCAAACTTGGCATGCTTCTATATTCAAGCATCCACAACATATTTCTCACATAAAACTTAACAAATAAACCCGACACCTCAAGGTTTATTAATTAAATATCCATAATTCTATATTTTACCATAACCAAACAATTCAATTTGGCATACAAACCAATATATAAGGCAAATTCTAGCTTAGGCATCATAATTTAAGCCTAAAATAAACAAAATTTAATTTCGGAATTTCCACAAAAATATTAATAAAATAATAATATTTTTAATTCCGAAAATTAATAAAATATTATTATTTAATTTAGGAAAATTAATAAAATAATAATACAATTAATCCAATAGATTATCTGTAACAGCCCGAATTTCGATGTAATTCCGGGATTAATAAAACTAATATTATTTCGCATTTCATTTTAATAAGTCTCACCCAGAGCTGATCACTCTAGGGATACTAACCAATGGGGTATAGCTATCTAGAAAATGGTACGTGGACCAGGGATCCTATCGCGAAACGGATATCGATCACGAGAGACGCTGAGGGAATATTTTGGGCAAACGTGGGCCGATCTTAGGAAAGAGTAATGGATTGGGTTTGGCCGAGGCCAACAATGTACAATAGGAACGCAGGTAATTCTGCAAGACCGAAAGTGCATGTGGCCAACCAGTCCTAAACTTGAACCGAATGATCGTGACCTTTGGAACTAGTGATAATTTCTCATTCTCTCAATGATCGAGACCATCACGATACGGATAGCCCTAGGTCGATACGCGTAACCTCTAAACAGCCACCCGTTAGTGAGAGACCCTGAAATTGAAAGTTTAGTGAGTTTTGTTCACGGAATTGGGCCCGAATTTCGATGTCGATTTTCGAAGGCTTAAGAGACTATTTTTGAGAATCTAACGTCATATTATGCTGGCCACACACATTTGGAGTTAGCACAAGTAAAAATTGGAATTTCGGTCCGGGGGTGAAAAATTACGATTTTGCCCCTTGGGATACCAGCGTCGCTTTTCGAGGCCAAATGAGGTTATTTTTCAAGGCCGACGCCATTTTAGGGTGGCCACACATACCAGGAGTCGTTATGCCCAAAAATTGAAATTTCGACAAAAATTGGAAAAATTGACGATTTTGCCCTTCAAACTTTGACGTGGATTTTTGAGGGCTTGCGCGATGAATTTCGCGATTCCGACACCACATTATGTTGGCCACGCACATTTAGGGTTGGTACGGGTAAAAAATGGAACTTCGACTCGGGACCGGAAAAATGACCGTTTTGCCCCTGGGCTATTTTTGGGTTCCGAAATTTTGGGAAAATTTTAGGATAATTATGGAGGGTTTATCAGCTCAATTATTGGCCCAATTACCCTTTTGCCCTTCAATTATTGGATACGATTAAATTAAGGCCGTTAGATTAGGGGCGTTTTGGTCATTTTCGCGGATTGGCGACACTTGGCGCCCCTAGCCCTAAATATTTGACCAGCTTGGACTTCTCTCTCTCTCTCCTCACCCTTCCATTTGGCCAGCCCCCACAGATCAGCCCTCCACCGTCTTCTCCCTCTCTTTCTCTCTCTCTCGGCAAGCCTTGCCGGAGCTCACCGCCGGCCACCCGAGCGCCGCCGCCGGCCACCGTGCCTCGCCGTCAACCACCTCAGTCCCTAGCCTCAGCCTCAGCCTCAGCCTCACCCGACCCCTTTCTCTCTCTCTCTCCCTCTCTCTCTTTCTTTCCCTTTTTCTTCCCGGGATAGCACCGCCGCCGCGCCGGAGCCTCACCGCCACCGCGCTGGAGCCCGATCGGCCGAGCTGCTACCACTGTGACGTTTCCGACGTCCCCGTACATCACTGTTCATCACCGTCCGTACAGTGTCCGTACGGTTCGTACACCGCCGTCCGTACGTCACCGCCGGGAACGCCTCCGCCGGTTCCACTGTTCACCAGTGATCGGCTACCGTTCCTCATCGTCGTGAGTTAGATTAAGTGAGTACAATTTCTAAACCCGGATTAGGACTGATAGTGCGTTTTCTGGACTGGTTTGGGTATTATTAGTGAATACTGGAATGAATTAGTGAACCGAGTAGTGGAAATTTATACTGGATTAATATCAGTGGATCAATGTGAGATTAATTAGTGGGCTATCGGACTAGCCGGGACTAATTGAGGATTAGGTGACTGGACTGCTGGGTATGCCCGGGCTGACTGACTTGTTGATTGTTGTGCCCATTTATTGGGGAATTGAATAATGCCATGTTGTGTGCTCGTGTGGCCGACTCGTGCGGAGTGTGTTCGGCCATTTGATGGCTTGAGTGGGTTATGGAATTACACATTGTGAATTTGGGCCGCACGGTATTAATAAGCCAAGTAAGCACGTGGCTTGTGAATTAGGCACCGTGGAATGACTTTGATTGAACTGTGTGCCTGTGCCTATGTTATGTGGATGCTCATGTTGCATTTCATGGCACGCGTTATGAATGCCGAGAATGAGGCTTGTGAGGAAATTGTGTGAGACTGCGTGCCTGTCATGAGCATGTGATCACCTAAAATACCCTGAAGCGTGTCACGCGAGGTTCAGATAATAATTGGTTGTGTGATCACCTAAGGACTTTCGGGTCGTGACCTTCAGGTCGATACCGTCCTCATGCACTTTGAAGCAGAACGATGCCCGGTATGTCCGGAAGACGACCATCCTCATGTACTTTGAAGCAGGCTCTGGTTTGTGAGGAGAACAGTGTTACGCCTCATGCACTTTGAAGCAAGCTAGAGACACTGGGCCAGATCGGTGCCGCGCCTCATGCACTTTGAAGCAGGCTAGACGCACCGGGCCGTGAATATTGACTCGAGTCGTAATAAATATTAATAAATTGAGCAATTGCCAGTATACCAGTATGGGCCAGTGGGCCAGTGGGCCAGTGTAGGCCAGTGGGCCGAGATATGCATGTGACATGTTGACGACGTTTGCATGCATAAAAATGCATGAACTAGTGTGCGAGTATGTGAGACTCAGTGTATGGCATGCGATATGAACACTGAAGAGCATGAGCATGTGTTTGGCGTACGTGTGACTAAGTGTGCCACGTATGTGCCGTGATTATTATACATTGAAATGTCTAACATGCAGGGTCATAGAATTGTTTAATTGTTGTCGCATTACGATTTAGAATGTTTGTTTCCGGTCAGGAGAATGCATGCTAGCCTAGCCTAGGTTTAGGGGTTATACTCGCTGAGATTCGTCTCACGGTTGTTATAACCCAACATTTCAGACCCCCAACCGTAGAATGCCGAGGTCATCACCTCTTTTTGGGATACCGCATCACATTCAGCGATCGTCGAGCGTGCACCCCTGTGGAGACGGAACAACTTATGTGAGATATTACGCTTTACTGTTTACTAATGTGGGAGAGTCGTACTACCATAGCCAAGAATATGTGGCTTGG